TAATCCCCCTTTAAGGAGTTTAGGCGCACCCTGAACCCTAAGTGTTAAACCCGGAGCCCTGAGACCCCTAAAAAAAAAACATATAACCTCAAACCTGGAAACCCCCAAAACCTCGTAATCTTTCCGCTCTGTTCTCCTGAGACATATAACAACAAAAATGTGTGTAATGGGCCCCTAAATTCTACTACCGTCTGCTTTAAAAAGCCTATATATCCCTATACAACCCCCAAACCCAAACCCTAAAAGCCTAAATTCCTGAACCCTAAACCCTAAACCCTGCGCCCTAAGCCCTAGACCACCTGACAAGCCCCTGCCTAAATATCCCTATACAACATCAATCCTGAAACCCCTAAATTCCTGAACCCTAAACCCTTTATATAATTCCTAAACTACCCTAATTCCTAAACCCTAAACCCCTCAAACCCTAAGGGTATATGGGGATCTAATTCTACTTTACCCACAGCCATATTCCATCTACTTAATGGGGACTATACCTAAACCCTAAACCATGCGGATCGGAGCTAAGCTTTCCACTCTTGTTCTCCGGCGTCGGCTTTTCCGCCTTCCGAAGCTCCGTGGCCTGCGGCCTCGGCATCCAGGCTCGCTTTATAATCCCCCTTAAGGGGTATGTCCCCCTTAAGGGGTTATTTGGGGGCTATATAGAATATTGAGGGTTATATTAGGATAGTGGAAAAGAAAATGGAAACTACTATGTTATAATAGGGCATATATTGGGGTTCTAGTCCCCCTTAAGTAGATAGAATATGGCTTTGGGTATATTATAACAAGATCCCCATATACCCCATATTCTAGGGTTTAGGGTTTAGGGTTTTGGGTTTTGGGTATATTATAGTAAGAACCCCATATACCCCATATTCTATCTACTTAAGGGGGACTTTAAGTAACCAAATTGAGGGCTTAGAGCTTAGGGTTGGGGGTTTAGGGTTTAGGGTTGAAGGTTTAGGCTTTGGGGGTTTAGGCTCATAGAGGGGTTGTAAGGTAGGAGCGTATCCAGTAAAGTTTGGGTTTGGGTATGGGATGATACCAAAAATTGAAAAGTAATATGGAAACTGGGTCTCTGCATTCATGCGATTTTGCTAGCATTCTGGTCCAAAATTCCTAGGTTCCTTGTATAGTATGGCGTCGGGTAACTCAGACGGGCTTCAAAATATCTTGTTCTTTACTTCGGCCCCTACAGTACTCTAGTGCATTCTTAACTTTCTCATGGCGTGGTCGGCGGCATAAGGCGAAGGCTTTGAAGCTCCGGGTGTAGGGCAAAGGGTTTTGAGGTTTTTTGGAGGTGCTGGCTCTTCAACTTTAAGGCTTGCACTCCCCCTGAACTAACATGGAACCCCAAAAAGGGCCGTGCAAAGAATACTGTCCTTGTGTTTGGAAGCTATATGGGGCTTCACGTTTGCTAAGGGGAGGATAAGAAGTTTAAACCCCATGCTAAACCCTGAACCCGTAAACCCTTGCAACCCTAAACTCTTGAAATGCAGGAGTTTCCCTGAACCAAACCCTAAACCCAGAAGCCTCAACCCCTTGAAATTCAGGAGTTTCCCTAAACCCTACACCCTAAACCCTAAAACCCGTTGAGATGTTTAAGTCTCAAAGTCTAAAAGGCTCTGTCAGATGCTCAGCTTTGAGAATCTGCAGGAACGTTTTACTGGGTTGCTGTTCAGGAACTTAAATTAAGTTACCATAATGGGTTTAGGGTGTAGGGTTTAGGGTTTAGGGTTACCATAATGGGTATGTATAGTAAATAATAGAGTTCCCCCAATGTAGATTCAGTTCCTTAACAGCAGCCCAGTTTAGGCAGCTCAGGCTCGCAGGGCTGGCAAGTCCGGTTTCTTCTTTGGAAGATCAGAAGGACAACAGCAATAACTGGGTTCTTGTTGAAATACTATTAAACAAGATCATTTTTAATCTATATTGGGCCCAGGTATACATAAAAATGTAAGATGTTACTCAACAAGAACCCAGCTAAAGCTAAGACAATGGTTCCACATGCTCTTCTTGGCTTTTGGTATGATGATCTTTCAAAATACCTTCACCAATGACCCCCCCACTGATTAACTTGGGGATGTACAGTTTGATTTTTAGCACAGGATGCGTAGATGACCTTGGAAACTTTATGAACCTGTGCAGAAAAGGTACCCGCCGGATGCGCGTATATATGTACATACCAAACATCAGACCCATGAGGTGTTTTGCTGTGAGTGCAGGCCTTCCATGGTTACGGACCTGCTAACCACGGAAGCTAGACAAACATTTCCTCTGTTCATTACCTCACGATTGCTCCACAATTGAATCGTTAGGCCCATCACTCCCGCAACTTACGTGGGTCTCTCAATTCACTTCAAGGGGACCCTTTTGAAGTTCAGATGCTCAATCACCTTCATCTCCTCCAAGCGAAGCCCTAAATCCACATCCACCTTGTGATCCCCTGGGTGTTACTCACAAAAAAGTATCCTGGGGACGCTAATGACCCTAAACTCCTAAATCCAAAAAAGAAAAAGAGCCCTTAAGAACTCTCTAGGGACAATGCTGAAGAACTCCGAACTCAGAAACAAATCCACCCTGGCGCCCGCACTTCCCTCGGTAGTTGAGGTAAACAGAGAACGAAACCTTGGCTTGGAGTCCCCGTTAAAAAAAAGAGGCCTCTTTATTTGTAGAACCTTGTTTATCGGCATGCTAGGTCCTAGGTCCCCCCTCCTAAGCTGATTGTGGAGATCATGTAGAAATTGCGCAGCGTGATAAACAAGTTTTAAACAAATGCAAAGTTCTTGGGCCGTAACTTATTATCTCCACATGGCCTCGACTATTTTCTGCGCAAAAGACAAGCACCCCACTTAAGATTGAAGCCTCCCCTCGAAATTACAAGGATGTTTCTGAGCAGCTGAGGTGCATGTTGGGGAGGGATTACATCCTGAAACCCCAAACCCAAACCATAAACCCCTAAGCCCTAACCCTTGGAGGGTCCATTTGGGGAAGTTCCCCAAGTTGGGACCATCGTCTTTTGCGGGTAGGCTCAGGTTTCGAATAGCCTTGTCTTTGCGTCTACACCCTAGATATAGGGTTTCGGGTTTGGGGCTTAGGGGTCCTCCCTACACCCTAGACTCTAGACCCTATGAAGCCATGGATGCGAGAAAGCAGTGACAAGGCGGAAGCAAACCCATTTTCAGATGTGCAGGTTTCTCACGCGAAATCCTCTTCATGGATTCCCTTACTCACACTCCCCCACCTACGCACTCCCCTCCCCTCTAGCTGCCTGCCTCTAATTATGCTCAATTAGCCCTACTTTTTCCCGAATTAGCTTTTTATTTAAGGGGCACATCCACGGCTAAATCCCAGGTATCTCCCATGTCCTTTCCGCAATGCACGCCTGAGAAACTTCCTGCAAGCTGTTCCGCACTCAGGACGAATTCCAACGTTAACCCCTTTAACCCCAAGCCACATGACACCACGCAGTGACTACAAGAAGTGATAATGGTAATACTAGTGATAACAATTTGATAATAGCAAGTTAAATATTAATAGTAGAGCTATAATGACTGAAATAGTAAAAATACCTCAAATAGAATCAAACCCATCCCAACCCAGGTGGGGCAAAAGTTTGCAAGATAAATCTTAGATCTAACACTTCTTTGAATTTCGAACCTGCACGGGCTTTGTGGATTGGCATGGAAGGTTTAGGGGGAGACTAGGACTGGACTTTATCCTTGATACCTTAAGAATCATGACTGAAAAATTCCCCAGCAAAGCTCCACCAATATGTTTCCGCGCGGCCTGGCTTAGGAATCCTAAACTCTAAACCCGAACTTAACCCTAGTCCCCGACTGATTAGTTGATTAATTCATCCAAAATGGGGGCGAATCCCCTCGCTCTCATATATCAAGTAATCCCAAAGATCTTGTTTGCAGATGGCATATTTAGTACCGGGGTGATAGAACATTAGCTGAGATGGGGTACACATGAGCTTGGGTCTAGGGTCCTCAAATTCAAGGCAAGGATCATACTGCCCTCGTTTGAAGTTCTTGCGCTGGGTTCGATGCAAGAACCTGGGCCGGAAGCATAATCATCTCAAGGAATGCTAGCTGGTGGTGGTGCTGCCGAGCTAATATTGTCCAAGCACAAAAACTGGGAGACCTAGCTATTGAGATTGCATAAGAGATTATGGCCTGACGAGTGTATTGCATGAACCGTAGGGTAGCCTTGCAACTGTAACTCAATTTGAGCACCCTGGAAAAAGGTTTCAGCAGCAGACCAGCCTGCAAAGCCTCCCAGTGTCCACCCCAGTCGAATATGATCCCCATTGTAACAACTCCCAAGAAAAAACTGCCCTTACGGTAATCTGTTGAACCCTCATATGCTCTTCAAAGCCGTGAACAATGCTTTGCAGTTGTAGACTTTTGGTCAAAAAAAATGCGACTTGATCTGGGCAGCCTGGATGACACGGCGCACTGTTAAGACAAAGCTGAGAGCTGGACGCATCTTGCCCAAACTTTTTGGTGATGTCTGGGCATTCGATGAACCCAAAGCCCTTGTCCTCGAACCTAGGATGCGACTTGCAAAACTGGCTTCCGAACATAATCCGGCAAACTGAGCACTCGAGGCTACACAGCCACAACAGAAATCCGAACCGAAGGTAAGGTTGCCAAGCTTGTCCTTGCGCTATTCAATACATGGACAAAGCATGCCGGCACCACCATAAGTACATCACGCCCACGAACCGTCTGTCCGTCAGACCTGGTGAGCAAGAAGTCAACAAGATAAGTTCCCTTTTGGGCTAAGATTCCCCTTAAAGACATGTATTCCTGATGGTGTCTCGTGTAGAGAGCCTTCAGAACCCTTCCAAACATTTCCAAATCACCGGCATCAACCCTGGAACTGCGGCAAGGCCTGGTACCACTTCCATGTCCGGCGGCCGGTAATGTGGATGGTTGATGTTCGGGGATGGTCCCGGCCTTGCCCAATGTCACATTCAGGGGGCACAAAACCATTTAAACTCAGTGTTCGACGGGTACGGATCTTCTTCTTCCTCTTCCTCCAGGGGTTCTTCCTGCTGCGCAACGAGAGCCTGGGCACACGTGTTTGATGCCAGCCTGCTTGAACGTTGAAGCACCATTGAACACGTGTGAATGAGCCATATCAATGTACAACCACACTGGAAAACACACAGACGCAGACTTGCCCATGCAAATGACCCTCTGTCGCGAGGTTGCACCACAGTACATCTCGTTGATGGCATAAACACCACATTCGAGCAGAGATGCATTCGGATCCACGGGTGCAACCATTTGTCCAGCCGCCGTCGGCATCATTCCCATAGCCTCGAACATCTCAACTTGTTGTGCAAGCCATTTGGTAATTTCCTCGGGGACACCACTATATACGGCAAAGTGCTATAAACCTTCCGCCAGAAAAGGTCCCTAATTTTCCTTCGCTGGACCAGTACGGAGAACAGAGGGCTTAACATGTATGCCAGCAGCGGGTCGACTGGGCAGTCTGTTCACATTATGAAGCTCCGCTGCAGATGGGAAACCAAGGGGTTCATGTGCATCATGCTGGCCATGGGGTTCATGTGCATCATGCCGGCCATGGGCGACATCATCATGGCCTGCGCGGAATCACAACTGACAGCAACAAAAAACAGCAAAGCAAAGCAAGCTCGCGGCCAGCTGCTGTTGCTGCAATAATGCCGCCATTGGGTTCATGGCTGACCTTGCGCATAGCTTCATGTTAGCATGCTGCAAACACCAAAAAAAGAAACTCAGCACACTGAGATCCTGACAGCGCAGGGCAACCACAACCCATGCAGCCACAACCAGGGCAGCCACCGCAGCATCCGCATCCAGCACAACCCGGACAACAAGGCATGCAACCAGCCATGCAACCATTGCCAGCCGGACAACTACTTTGACATCCTGCTGGGCATGTGGAGGGGCACGTTTGCCCGCAGCCATTGCAAGCTATTCCAGCAGCATCCCCAGAATTGCTGCCCGTATCATTTGGCCCAGCATCCGCTGGAGGTGCCTCAGGACTCAGGAATGAATCCCGCTGCATGGTGCACTAGGTTTTTTGCTCTGATTTTGAATGCCGGGGCACAGCCGCAATTCCATTTGCACCTGCACACACCAACCAATGACACAAACGTGTTTCTTGCTGTTTGCCAAATTAATGAATGGCCCCCTCTCCAGAAAGCGACAGCCTTCACCACCCAATGGGCTACGTGACCGACTTCGTTCGCCTAAGCATGTGTGGAAATTTGGTTTGCATGTAGATCGTAAACACAAAAAAGAACGAATGAATTGCCATTGCCAGCGATGCATTCAGCGGCTAGTACACCCAGCAAGATTTCAAATTATTGCTGAGGCAACTGCGCACTTGCATCGCTGCAGTTTGGTACCTCTGGAAACACCATGACAAATGGCATGCTTGGACATCCACCGGCTGAAAGAAGTATCAAATGATCTGAGTTTTTGGCGCTCCGATGACGTAGAAGGCAAAGGCCACACATTGGGCTCGCTAAGGCACGTCAGCTTTGATGACAGCTAGTCAAGACGTGTGTTAAACTTCGTGGCGGAAAACCTTTCACATGATGAATTTGCTAACCTAAGTGTGCACCATGTTCCTCTCGAGAATCATTGGCTAAAAATCAAATGGTGTTGCTGACACGCATCTGGAAACTGCAACTGGAATCTAACGATGTCAAGTGTTTCATCCATTGCCTCCTGTTTCTCGCAACACCATGAGCACAAAAGACAGCAATGGAAAACACCAAATCAATCGGACAATGTCATGCCTCAGATCCGCATTCGGCCGCCATTGCCGTTAATTTGTCATTGCCTTACATGCATGCACCAGCAAAAACGTTGGAAAACATCACCAGCACGCGCAACTCCAACCTGGATCCTGGGATGGGACTGCGTGGCCATAAAGCCACCATCAACCAGCACGTGCTGCCACAATTCCGCCAAATTCTCACATCACGCTAATCACATCAACCTGCCTTGAGGAGGGTTTGTTTCATCTCGGGTGGCCCACAATCCTAGAGGAAATCTAGGGTTGCAAGGCTCTGATCGGAATGGATGGGGCAGAAATCAAACCTCAAGGGTTCCATCCAGGACGCAATCCTGGATGAATCCAGGATTGTGAGGCTTCGGTCGATTGGTGGGCTGGGACAAAGGTCAGGCCCCTGGAAGATTATCCCGGAAATGAAGTTTTGTGGTTTTCTTTGAAATGTTCGGAAGCACAAAGCTCCTGGTACTGCTGCCTTGCCCTATGTGCCATGTGACCCAAATCCTGGATAAAATTCCTGGGGCCCAACTTTTACCTCAACCAATCTGACCAGAACCTCGCAATCCTAGATTTCATTTAAGATTGCGTCCTAGATGAAACTCCTGGGGCCTGACTTCTGCCCCATCCAATCCGACCAGAGCCTTGCAATCCTGGAGTTCATCTAGGATTGCGGGCCACCGGGATGAAACAAACCCTCCTCATCCCCGAGAAGTCGTCGCCTGTAGCTTTGGCAAGCTGAGGCCTGCAAGCCGCATAAATTTCCAGGGCTGAGGCCTTGGTCGATTTGGCTGGGGCAAAGGTCAGTCCTGGAAGTTTATCTCGGACATGTGGTTTTCTGGTACTGCTGGCTTGCCCTATGTACACCCTGTGACCCAGGTCCTGGATAAAACTCTTGGGGCCTGCCCTCTGCCCCATCCAATCCGACCAGATCTTCAAAAAAAAATCATTCGCGAAGTTGAACCCCTTATCCCTTCTCTGCTTGCTGGTAGGCGGGGCGCGTCGCTCAGCTTGCCATGCGCAATGGTTCACTCAGGCAAGGGGTGCCTAAGCCCTCCCTGCAACAGCAGCCTGGCACTATGTTTTTTTTTATCGGACAACGAATTTTTGCGCTCAAGCTGCACCAGCGTGTTTTGGTGCCTTTTTCGGCGAGCTGTTGGCCAACCGGCCCCACATGGCTCCACCACCCCTGCGGCTGACAATTGTCGAGCTTGGGGGGAGCCACGCACCATTCAGTGTGTTGTTTTTTCAAAACCTTCTTGTTTCTTGCGATTTTGCGCATTCCGTGTGCAAGTCACACGGGCCCACTTATGTTACTGTTTGTACAACGCACGGCGAGTGCAGCTCATGTTCCCCAAATACACCGCAGAAACACCCAGGAAACGGACTCCATCGCACGCTAACATCCCTCAAAACCCAAGCAACAGCCATTCTCCTGGCTGCTGTTGCGACAAGAACGGTTTGCTTGATTTTTTTTGGTTTTTTTCCTCGCACCTTTTTGAGCCCAATCCACGCGGTCCCTGTGCGGAGCCCGAGTCCAAAGCTCACGGCCGGCTGGCCACGCGGGGGACGTGGCCGGCTGGCCTGGCAGGTGGGCTAGGGATGAGGCCCTTCACCCCCGGCTGGCGACAGGGCCGTCTGGCCCGTAGCTTGACATTCCTTCGAGCATTTGTCAAACAAATTAGTCATGCATGCTGCGCATGCGATGTGTGGTTGCGTGACACACAGTGCCGACCATGCAAGATCCTTCAAGCGTGTGCTTGGATTGGAACACATCACAAGCCAAACGCGCGATTTGGCGTACTGCGACGACATAAAGCCAGGCGCATGTTTGCTACACCTATCCAGACAGGAGCTAGCTGTGAAGATGTTGCATTTGGTTTTGGGTCTTTCCCGGCTAAATGCCTTCTGGGCTTGGGGCCTTTTCGAGACCTCTTCCCAGCCTCTTCTGGGCCTTGGGTCTCTTCTGGCCTTTTCTGGGTTTCTGGACCTTTTCCCCGCCTTTTCTGGGCCTGGGGTTTCTTCGGGGCTTTTCTGAGCTTGTGGGCCTCTTCTCAACCTTTCCTGGGCCTCGGGCCTTTTCTGGCACTTTTTTGGGTACCAGCACGTTTTGGTGGTGGCAAATGCCGCCGCTAGTGACGCGATCGCGTGCCCGTGCCGTTGTCGCGGCTGGCACCACAATTGATGTAGCAGATGTTGCCATTCCTGGTGCTGCTGGTGCTGGTGAAGCGTTGAACCGGTGTTGCTATGTGCCTTGTTTTGACTGTGAATACTGCTCTGGCGGTTTTGGTTGTCATGCTCACCGTTTCCTGGGACATGTTGCGCATTGTGCACGTCGGGAAGGGCCGTTAGTCATGGAGATGTGACAATCATGACATCACACCGAACAATACTGGGGCTTGTTAATGTTATGCGACTTTGCCACCATTGCTGTAGCCGCATAGTTTTCCTCCTAGCCCTTGCCTACAGCCTGGGTCTGCCGGCGGGTTGTTTATGTTGGATATTGGGGTTTTCCTGGTTGACTGGTCTGCCTCCACAATAAGCCGGCGCGTCCGTCGCGTGTGTGGATTTGCGCGCATCATACGTTTATGTTGGAAAGCTTCACGTTGGTGTGCTTCGGCACGGTTCTCATCACACACCATTCAGCGTAAACACAAAGGCTCTGAGCTGAATCATCAAGGTCCGTTGTTTTCCTGGGACGTTTTCTTCCCTGGGGAAATGCATGCGCTACATGGCTGGTTATGGTGCCTCGCATATCCACACCTCCTGCATCCTCCTGCAATGTTGCGAGCAGGTTGAAAAACGATGAGCACATGCTACAAAAAAAATTACAAACTGTGGGCGACTAACGCCTGGAAAACGGTGGAAAAACAAGAGCCCTTCAAGGACCTGGCAGAATTACATGGAAAAAGCTGACGTTCCCCAACACTCGATCCAAGCTCAAAATGCCGGAAACGATGGTTGCATGGTCGTCAACACGGGCATGATGTATTGGGTCGTGGACACGCGCAAGGGACGTTGTTTGGCTTATGAATATGCATCACTACGACACACCGCCGTCCAGCAAACCGCACCGTACACTGCACGGCCACCATGCCTCTGCATGAAGTGCATTTGGCAAAACTGGACTGTGCGCAGTGCGACACTCATTTTTCAGACGCCTGGGCCGCGTCGATGCGCCAGTGCTACTCCTGGCTTGGTTTGCATCGACGGGTCGTCGGCGGCAAGTTCGTTGGAAAGTGGCAGCAATTAAAAGCTGGCAAACTTCCCGGCAGCACATCGTTGGCAAATTGCCCTTGCTGACCGCAATTGTGCAATCAAGTTTCTTTCGCATCAGAACTCGCAATGAGCGCTGCTACACGCACCAACACAGGGGTTCTCGTTGCACGACGAGTTTACAACAAACAAGCGGCGGACTTCGCCATTCCTCGTGCCATTCTTGTGCACACCACAAATGCCACCCCCCTTAGATTTCTTGCAAACAGGTGATTCCCGTTCGCAGTCCACGTGCTATCGGACAGCACACAATGTGTGAGCACTTCACACCAAACACTTGCAAGGGTTTTGTGTGGACGTGGGAGCTGTTGCTCATGCAAATCAATGGGTCGTGCGTGGTCCGATGCTGTCCCAAGGTCATCACAAGATGATTCAAATCTTGGGAGCGGTAGCCAAAAAAAAGGACCCCGATTATCCTGTGGCAAGGGATGCGTGTCCGCTCGTGCTTTAGGTGCTGTGGTGGTGGTGGTGGTGGTGGTGGTGGTGGTGGTGGTGGTGGTGGTGGTGGTGCGGTGCAGGTGCTGTGGCGCATGTGGGCGGTGTAAGCGGCGTGCTGGACAGGTGCGGTGCAGCTGCTGTGGCGCACGAGCTCGGTGCAGGTGTCCTGGCGCATGTGATCGGTGTAGGTGCTGTGGTGGGCAGTGCGGGCGCCGTGGTGTATTGGTGCGGTGTCGTTGTTTTGGTGTAGGTGTCCTGGTATGTGAGTTGTGTAGGTGCTCTGATGTACGTGGCGAATTGTATGCGAGCGGTGTGGGTGCTGCGGCGTAAACAAGAGGAAACGTGTTTTGACGAAAAACCTTTCGCGATGATTTCAACAGCGGGAAGGTCGCCGATTCCAAACAGAATGCGCAGGACGTTCCACGTGACAGCACAACCCACCCGCCGAAAACAGCGAGGGGGGGCGTCGACTCCAAACAGAATTCTTAGGACGCTGCATGCGCCAGCGCTTCCACGCGCCGAAAAAAGCGAGCAGGGCGTCGATTCAAGCAGAA